TTTAATAGCATGAGCGCAAAGGAGACTGAAACGATTACATACATTTTTGGGCCCGAATGTAACGTGATGAAACTAATATGAATTAATAGATTCAGATTTATCAGTACCTTGCTGAAAATTATAAAAGTTTTCTCAATCTGAGAGCCGAGTTAATAAAGATTTAGTAAAAGTTAGGTTATGTTACAATCTCTTTAAAAGAGCTGAATAATAACTTATTTAAGCATAAGTAAATGTTTATTATCCATTGGATAATCTTTTAAATGTCATATTATGACATCGAACTATTCAGATGATATATATCAGGTATGGAATATGGAATTGCTATCCCACAATTCACACAGCGATCCATAATTTCAACAGTATCCAATGCAACAATTTCAAGTCAAACGTGTGAGCGATCTTCGGTGTCCAGTGTAGCAATTGTCGTACAAGGCTGGCAGAGTTGGAATCCGTAATAATAAAGCAGTGATCATTGAAAATATAAAAACAGCCCGACAGATACACACTCAAAATGCGTCGAAGATACAAAACGAGTAGATCATAAAAAACCAACCAACAAGCGCCAAAAAATAATTGTATAATCTATCTATGAACAAACGTCATGTCAGCTTACTGTCAAAGCTGTCATCAAAAATACAATCGATTTTAATCGATTTGAAATCGATAATCATATTACTTTGCTAAGTAATAATAGACTTTTTCTTCATTTATGTATATAATCGCAATTAAATCCGGCGCATACCGCACTTGTATACAACAAGTATAAATCGCTCATTTAATTACTTTGCATTAATTACCTAGTGCAATGTTTTTCTTTTTATAATCCTGTAATCGATTAATTAAATCGATCACACCGTTATACCGACAAAAACTAACTTTCTCATTTTTCTCCGGTCCCAGAAAGAGGATTGAGGTGATTTTTTATATTCTTATATAAAAAAATAAGACAAATTTTTTAGACTACATTCCAAGTTTTTACATTTTTGGCCCACGATTTTCCGTCTCCTTTACAGAGCCATATCGGACAAGGATTAATAAGACACGTGTTCAGTTAAGTGACTGACGTATATTGGGATTAGAAACTAACGTGTTGTCGACAGCCCGACAATCCCGAGACTGGCGTAGCATCATTGCAATATAATTACCGTTAACACATACATATAATTGTTAGTTGCTATGGGGACATTTGTGGTCCCTACATGTTATTTAATAATGGCAGGGCATCAGCGGCATTTTAGCGGACGAGATGGGCCTCGGCAAGACGGTGCAGTGCATAGCGTTCCTGTGCCACGTGGCCGAGCGGCTGGGCGTGTGGGGCCCGTTCCTGGTCGTGTCTCCCGCCTCCACGCTCCACAACTGGCAACAAGAGATGCAGAGATTCGTGCCGGATTTTAAAGTAGTAAGTTTACAAACAAATCGCCTTTTCGCATTAAAACTGTACAATTTCCAAAAATATTCGAAATTGAGTTAATATGCGTAAACATTTGGTATCACCAGTATTTTTCTCATAGATACTGTCAAAAGAGCGTATTTTAGTTTTTTTTTTGTTTATCTATATTTTGACCACTTTAACAAAATTAATACATAATTTTAACTTATTTTAAAAGATAGATAATGTAACTGCTAACATATAAAAAATAAAAGTTGCAAATATGATTAATATTAAAAATATTACATGTTAAACCTTGAAAACAATCTTCTGTAAAATTAGTAAGTTTTGAGATAATACAGTTTTAATGCGAGAAGACGAAATGTCAACTATAGATGTTGATGATTGAATTCTAATGCTGTTCAAACAAATTGCCGGAACGCATTACTGTTTCACGGCAAAAATAGGCAATGGTGGTACCTGCCAGTGCGGGCCCACAACATGTCCTACCTTATTTATTCCTTCACCGTGAAAGTTATTCGTGAACTTTTTTGTTAAGTACGTATTTCATTAGATAAATTAGTAGCCATCCGCGGGATTCGAACACCGGCACAGCCGCATCGCTCGATACGGATCGTCTTATCCTTTAGGCCACGACGACTTCGAATGATATATGTTCGCGTTTATTATATTTTTATTAATGTCGATATAAAATGATGTTCTGAGGCTATTATTTTTGTTAAATCAGGTCCCGTACTGGGGAAGTCCAAGCGAACGGAAAATCCTCCGTCAGTTCTGGGAGCGTAAGGACCTGCACACGCAAGCGGCCGCTTTCCACGTGGTCGTGACGTCATACCAAATAGTCGTCTCCGATCTCAAGTATTTGAATCGCGTTTCCTGGCAGTACATGATACTGGACGAAGCCCAAGCTATCAAAAGCTCGGCGAGTATGCGATGGAAGCTCTTACTTGGGTTCAGCTGCAGGAACAGATTGTTATTATCCGGTAAATACAAATCTTTTTATTGTTGCGGACGATGATGTAGCTGTATCGTTTACCGACTTTAGTTGTTGGCCTAAAGGATAAGAGTCCCGGTATACTCATATCGAGCGATGCGAGAGTGCCGGTGGTCAAATCCCGCTGGCGGGTACCAATTTTCTTACTTAAATAAAATATGTACATGTCCACGAATAGCCTTCATGATGGAGGAATAACATCTTGAAATAAAAGAAGAATTCGCAATCTTATACCTTTAAACAAGCAATTCTTGTATATATATAATCTGAATCTCGGAAACGGCTCCAACGTATTTCATAAAATTTAGTGTACAGGGGATTTCGGGGGCGATAAATCGATCTAGCTACGATTTATTTTCAGAAAATGTTGTTTTATTCTTGTTTTCAATAATCAACTCTTCCCGACATCTATTGGCGAATAATAATACTATTTTTCTTAATTGAGGGCAACTAACCGATTTAAAGAAACAACAAGATGCCGTTATCAAAAAAAAAAACGAGCAAAGCTCGGTCATCATCTAGTAATTATAATTTCCGTAATTATTATATAATTTAGACTTAGACTTTGTGGGTGTCTATGGGCTCTGGTAACTACTTAAAACTAGGTGGACTGAGATTGTTTTCCTGAGTAAGCAAGACAAGTTGCAGTTTGCCTCTGAGAATTCTTTTCAAGCTAAATCTGAATAAAACAATTGTATAGCGCTCATCCCAACGCTTCGCAGGATATGCTTCCCATCAATTTCGTATGATAAACTTATGCAAATTATAAACTGCGTTAATCTTCTGTTTTTATAACTTAAAATAAAAAAAATATCTTTAATCAAAACCAAAGATTTTATATTCATAATGTGTTTTGAATTACTAAATTGACAATTTTAATTTCTCACAGGCACTCCAATACAAAACAGTATGGCTGAGCTATGGGCTCTATTGCATTTCATAATGCCAACATTATTTGATTCACATGAAGAATTTAATGAATGGTTCTCCAAAGACATTGAAAGTCATGCAGAAAATAAAAGCACTATAGATGAAAGTAAGTGTCAAAATCTACACGTATTAAAACTTATTAGAGAAAGCAAATCATTTGTAAGGTATTTTTAACGTAAGTGTTTTTTTGTGACAACATTAAACAATTTTGCCATATAAACGAATACAGCATGCTTTACTTATGTTCATTTACTTCATTTGTAATCATATGTAATTAATTTAAATCATCTTGATGTAATTAAACATGATTATTTGTCGGGCTTGTTAGTGTTGTATGCATTCAATCTTCATTTATCTGATCGAGTTAAAACACAATTGTTCATTCATTTCAATTTAAGAGTTTCTGTTGTGCATACTGTAGGTGGCGCACCAATCGTGTTAATAAATGGCCGTATTTCACATATTTATCAGCAGTCAGAACTTGTTCAGATTTGTTTCAACGTAGGGATAGTGTAAATTTTGTAATAGAGTTAAAACCGGTAATTTGAAGAGATTATCTTCTTTCAGAACATCTATCCAGACTGCACATGATTTTGAAACCGTTTATGCTACGTCGAATAAAGAAGGATGTGGAGAATGAATTGTCTGATAAAATAGAGATCATGGTCCACTGTCCTTTGACTATAAGGCAGAAACTATTGTACATAGGTGAGTCTTCTTTCAAGTTACAGATAAACTCATAACTAATTACATAAATTGTAAGATTCAGATCTTAAAACTACTGTTATTGTTTAAATTTCACACAATGAATCATTTTATACAGCTCTGAAGAAGAAAATAAAGATAGAAGAATTATTACATTTCTCTGTGGGTGCTGAGTCCGGGCACAATGTTGATAAAAATTTCACATCGAATCTGATGAATTTGGTTATGCAGTTTAGGAAGGTAAGTAAAAGTATTGAGTTAATACAGAAAATGAGTTAAATTAAACTAATTGACTTTCTCGACTTTTGTGTCTACCCTGGATTAGGGGGCGTCCATGAGAATTTTTCGACGCCCTCTCCCCCTTGGTGAGATTTCGTAAGATTTTCCTCAATTCCTCCCTCACCCCTAATCTCACGCGAGATTCTTTAAAATTTATGTTTTGGCTGTAAACGTGATAGATTATTGAAAAAAAAAAGAACTTTTTCTATTACTTTTATTATAGATTTAAGAAAACTGTCAAGGAACGTTTGTGCAACAAGGCATATTATAAAGTTAAGGATTATTTACTAGATGGCACTACGTGGGAATGAGGCGCTCGCTCCTGGCCTTTTCATTTTTCATTATTGTTATTATTATTTTTTAATTGTATTTTTTGACTTGTTTTTTCCTTTATTGTATTTTTTTTATTTATTTAAAAAAAAGAAAATATTTGAGAAAAAACAAAAAAAAAAAGCCCGCTGAGTTTGTTTCGCTGGTTCTTCTCAGGACTGTGGCTTTTTTTTGGAACCGGTGGTAGAGTTAACATTGTTATTTGTATTTTGACATTCAACAAGTGTGTCATACTGACATCTAAGCTGAAATAAATGATTTTGAATTTGAATTTGAATTGAAGACAAGCAAATACTAGTATTTGTGAATATTACCGTAATTTAAAATATACTAACGACGTTGCCCTGTAGAGCAGATTTGGCCATATTTTATTCTAGTAATAGTTTATTACGCAAGCTTACACCGTATTCTGCGAGAAAAAAAATTACGCGATATTTGCTAAGACCCCCTCCCCCCTGATAAATATTTGGAAAGATTTAGCTTGATCCCCCTCCTCCCTAGAACAAGTCACGTAATTAGTGGACGCCCCTTACCTATAAAAATGATCACATCTGTGCCGCTACTAGATATGTAGACGACATACTTAGGTAGTTTTCCAATTACAGCACAAAAGCGCATTATGCGGCATAATGCTCAACGTTGAATGTTCCAACTACAGCAACGCTTCGTACAATCGAGCACTCAAAAGTACTGCTCTCGCGTGATGCGTGCAATCGATACCGACTCAGTGACAGAAAATTGACAAGCGTTTTTTCTTTAAATTGGCATTGATCGAAATTTTGTTTATATTATCGTTAGTAATATTATTTAATGTTGAAAAAAATTGTAAGGCTTTCGTTTCGTCGTAGTTTCTTAGAAATAATCAATGTTAATTAAAACTGCTAATTTAGCGCACTCTGCTGATGCATTTGAAAACTAATTCATGTTCCAATTAAGCTTCAGCATAATTCGGCATTGTGCGTCACTGAGTCGCATTATGCTCTGTAATTGGAAAACTACCTTAAGTTGCATACCCATATTCCGCTGAACGTAGTATTATTAAATAAAACGAAACCTATTTGCTACCGATCGCAGGTGTGCAATCACCCCGAGCTGTTCGAGCGGCGCGACGTGAGGTCTCCCTTCACGATGCTCCTGGACGATTACCACCTGCCGAAGCTCGTGGTCGAAGACTGCATCCTGATTCGTTCGACGCCCTCAAAACGCCATCTCCTATACAACCGGCTGTCGATACTGACGCCGGGCCACGTGCAGAGCGGGGTCGGTGCCGGCGGCTGCTTCGGCTTCACGCGGCTCGTCGACGTGTCGCCGCGGGAGCTACACTTGCTGACGTCATGCGGCTGGCTGCACGCGTGAGTGGTACCCCAACCCCCCCCCCCCAACCCCCTTCATTGTTAATGTCGACAACAGAGCTGCGAACAAAAATGTTTCTAGTGCTTTCTTTCGTATGTTACTTCGCGCGCAATGGTCATTAAAGTTCTTTTGTGAGAGTATTTATGTTTAAAATGACGTAACAATTTAGTTTATCTAAAGAAAAATAAATAATAGTTTAAAAAAAACTAACAAAATACGCTTTTATAGAAAACTCAATTAAAAAAATAGAAAATAAATCTTAATTAAAAATAGTGTAAGAAAAAATGATTTTATTGTAAAAAATGCGTGGGGCGCTTTTCAGGATATTATCAAAATAACCCTTCTACTCATATTTGTTCATTAATTATTTATAAACTAGCCCGCGCTTTTTTTACAATAAAATATTTTTTTCTTACACTATTTTTAATTCAAATTTATTAAAATTTATTTTCTATTTTTTAGTTGGATTTTCTATAAAAGCGTATTTTGTTAGTTTTTTGTAAACCATTATTTATTTTTCATTTTTTAGTTGAATTTCAATTTTTTCAATCTTTTTTTTCTATAATTTTTTTGAGTATTGAATTGTCATCGGTCCTTAATAAGTATACCTAATTTCGAGTTAATCCGACGTTTTGAAGGGGGTCAAAATCATGTTCAAAGATTCCATTACATACTAACATACATACGTCAGAAGCTAATAAAAACGTATTAAAAAAGGGAGAGCGTGGTGTAAACGTTTCTTTCGTTCGCTTAGCGCTGACATCAAAAAGTATAAAGTGCATCACATTTATCAACTAATTCATTTTTTTTAAATACCTAAAATATCACACTAATATAGGATAATTTAAAAAATCAACATCATTATTTTAGTTAAAATTTTCAGCATGCTACACATCGAGCAATGTCTAGAGAAATACGAAAAACTCCGACACAGACAGGACTGGTGGTACAGCGAAAACATTAGCGCCCAGACCACGTCTGATTATTATAGAGTTAATAGTAAAGACATGCTTTTGATATGTCCCGACGGAGATGTATTGAAGAAGAGAAAAGAAGACGGTTTGTTGTGGAAGGAGTTGCTGTTTACCGATCCGCTGTGGGTCGAAGGTTCGTAGCCAAATTAATAATCTATACTTCTATACTAATATTCTAAAGAGGAAAGATTTGTTTGTTTGTATTGAATAGGCTCCGAAACTACTGAATCGATTTTAAAAATTCTTTCACCGTTTGGAAATTACACTATTCCCGAGTTATTTAAAAAAAAATAGGGATCCTTACTAAAACTCCAATAATGTAACCCAAGGTGTAAAAAAAATACCTAAACGATTCTTTACATTGCGTGCCCTACGAAAACTATTGATGATAGAATAAAATAATGTACTACGATTTTGTAGAACATATTTTTATTGACAAAAAGTGTCGGGACAACACGTGTTATTTTATTTAAAAAAATAAGGCAACGTCAAATTAATATCGTTGAAATTTTTGGTAAAGACCTGAGCGGAGACGGAGTGGGCCGCTAGTGCTTTATAAGAATATCTATAGAGAATTAGTCTATACTAGTGGTCCTGCAGTATTCGAAACTCGACTATAATGTTAATTGAAATTGTATGTTTAAACATTATTATGGTTCTATTGTCAAATACTATTATATTACTATAATATAATCACAGATTTCGCCAAAACTTACACTATAGATTAGTATAGATAAATAACATTAAAGACAAACAATATTAATTTATTCGGAATTTGACCACAGACTTTAAACATTAACAAAAGTTTGGCAATTGACAATAAACAAAGAGTATAATTATATATATGTGTGTGTGTGTCAAATACATGTTAGTGGGTGTAATGTTTTTTTTATTGATTAAATGCATGTTTTAAACGCAATTTAAAAAAAATTATCTTTGTACACTCCTGTGTATTCTGTAAGTGTGGGAAACTCCGTCTGCGCAATTTTCGTAAAAAGGGGTACAAAGTTTTTGCTTCACGTATTAATATATAAATAGGTATTGTTATACAGTGTGACTTTTTCATCAATAAAACTATTGATTTATTTACAATTTTAGGTGGTCCATTCTTCGCACACACGGATGTCGTGTTGCATTACGTACCGGAAACGGTCGAGCACAGGACAATGCGTTTGAGGAACTTGAAAGATAACGGGCAGGTGTGTATTAGGAATCTGTGTGATGTAACAAATTGACGCGTAATTTAAAGACAGTTGAATTATTTGTTTGGATCTTAAACCAATTAGTGGTATTCTGTCGTTAATGAAATACTGGCTAGTTTTTTAACTGGACCTCTTTATTTCTGGTTTTTATTTAAAACTAGCTTACCCAGCAGATTTCGTAGTGCCTCAATCGATAAATAAAAGACCAAAACTTTCGTATAAAATAAACTTAAAACAAACAAAAGAAATCCGTCCGACGGGGGACACATCAAAATCGGTACAGCCGTTCTCGAGTTTTAGCGAGACTAATGAACAGTAATTCATATATATATATATATATATATATATATATATATAGATATAGAATATAGATAATTACAATTATTTTATGTATTTTTTACATCTTAAAATTCAATCCGCGATCATCAACCGAGCATCCGAAAAAGGAAGTGCAGACTATATATCTTACTCAGAGCGTTCGCTCATGAATATGACAATGACGTTTGCCACAACTTTGGCAGTGACATCTCATGTAATGTTCGATTGTCATTTCTTAACAGTCGTATTAGGATAAAATGTACGACAGAGGGCGCGCGTGGTGCCGCAACCCGACCGTATTGTATTTAGCGATAGTCAGCGGTCGTGATTAACTATTTCGTAAAAAAATGTCTTTTAATCAAGTCTACGACTCCGAAGAAATTATAAGAGGGCACAAGTTCGAGACTTTTAGTCCCACTGGTTTTTAGTGAGGTGTCTAGCGTTTATTGATTTTTGTAAATGATCAGAATGTCTGATGTCAAGCGATCTACGAAATTTAGTGATACACAGACGATGTGAATTTTAGAAATGTTTTAAAGTATTTAAAGGCACTTTTAAATCGTGACGATTTTACATTTTTTTTATTGCATAGATGTGAGAACGAGCTCACAGCTCACATGGTGTTAAGTGGTTACCGGAGCCCATAGACATCTACAACGTAAATGCCGCCACCCACCTTGAGATATGAGTTCTAAGGTCTCAGTATAGTTAAAACGGCTGCCCCACCCTTCAAACCGAAACGCATTACTGCTTCACGGCAGAAATAGGTAGGGTTGTGGTACCTACCAGCGCGGACTCACAAGAGGTTCTACCACCAGTGAGAGGTATCGGGAAGAAACTCAGGGCTCGTTCTTTTAAATGTCTCTGAAATACCGCTTCGCCTATATCGACATCGTAATTGTTATTAATTGTTAATTTTTTGTCTTTAAACAACTTAGCAAAGCAGTGCACAAAAACAGGAACTATAATATAATTTCATTATTCCCTATCTCAGTCAGATATGTTGAGTGAGATAAAGACAGAAGACGGAGGGGTTGTGGCAGTCAAGACTGAAGAAATACCAGAATTCGAGCACGTGGAACGGCCACCTGAAGTTTTCCCTGTTATGGCAACACCGATGCCCGCGTTTTTGTATGCTGCTCAACAGAAGGTAATTTGACAGTTAAATTTTAATGCACGTTTCTTCAACACCATTGGACAGAGCAGCATTTATGCAGATTAATTGATTTTTTAGTGTTAGATCTTTTTTGAATTAGTAAAATGTTTGTTTATGAGTTCTTGTGTTTGGCAACACCGACTGCCGTGTCTTGAAACTATAATATTTGAAGACATGAGTGGATGAAGGGGTTAAATACAATTTTTAAATTTTTTAAGTTTTTACATTGAATGAAGTTGTTATGTGCCTATAAAACATAAACATATTACACCTTAAAATTCCTAAGTTAAAGGCTATTTTTAGAAATTGCATGTGATGAAGGAGTTTTATACGAAAAATGCAAGTAACAAAAGTATGTTGTCCGTTTTCTCAAAATTAAAATATCGTATCATATCCCCTTCATCCACTCATGTCTTCATTTGTCGTACGTGCTTTCTGTGAATGATGAGAATGTTTCGTCATTACGGATCCTGCTGATCCATTATCGGTACTTTAAGGTACCTCAAGCACCGGTCATCGTTCTCGTCGAACCCGTCTCTTGCGACGAAGGGCTCCACGAGTAAATTAACCCACAGACACAGCCAACTGAGTTTCTCGCCGGATCATCTCAGTGGGTCGCGCTTCCGATCCGGTGGTAGATTCTGCGAAGCACTGCTTTTGCTAGAGCCAGTGTTAGCAACACGCGGTTTGAGCCCCGTGAGCTCACCTACACGTCAAGATGCTGAAATAGCCTCTCAAAGCTATCAGCATAGGTAGGCGAAAATAAATAATAGTTTAAAAAACTAAAAAAATACGCTTTTACAGAAAATCCCACTAAAAAATAGAAAACAAATCTTAATATATTTGAATTAAAAATAGTGTGAGAAAAAATGATTTTATTGTAAAAAAAATCGTGGGGTGCATGGTATGGTATCAGTAGTTATAAATATTTTATGAACAGATGTGAGTAGAAGGGTTATTTTGTTAATATCCTGAAAATAACCCCATTTTTAAAGTGTATTTTTTTACTTTTTTTAAACTATTATTTATTTTTCCTTTTTTAGTTGAATTTAACATTTTTTAAAAAAAATTTCAATTTTTTTAAATATTGAACTGTCATCGGTCCTTAATAAGTATACCAAAATTCGAGCTAATCCGACGTTTTGAAGGGGATCAAAATCACGTTCAAAGATTCTGTCACATACTAACATACGTACGTCTGAAGCTAATAAAAGCGTATTAAAAAATGAAGAGAACGTTGGGTGCAGGTCTGCGCGAGCACGCTGACTCCGTTCGCGTCGTCGCGCAGCTTCGCGTACTGCATGACGCGGCACCGGCACGCCGAGTGCAGGGCGGGGTGCGAGACGTTGGGGCGGCTGTGCGCGGCGAGCAGGCCGCCCTACGGATGGGCGACTATACAAGTACCCGGTATGGCAGACTAATTTAACTAGTGGTCCCCCGGTAGTCGAAATTTGACTATAATATATTGAATTTATTCGATATACTGAATACTGACTATACAGGGTGACTTGTAATTCGACGTATTCCTCTTCGGATGTGATAATACATATAATTTCCAACCAATTAACCCTAATGTCCCTAATACTAAAGTGTATCGTTATCGAGATATTCAATATTTTTCGTTTTGTTTAAAAAAATCCCGAAAAACTGCGAAAAAATCATTAAACAAAATGCTAGTGTATTGAATTAAGCTGTTTGATTTTTTATCAGTTACCAATACATCAACTAACATTTATTAATACTAATACTAGCACGAATGTCAAACATTTTAAAATAGCTAGTGATTTCTTATAAAATTTTGTTTTGATTCCCTAATTTGGTCGATAGAAAACTGGATTTATTTTGACTTAACGATATACTAACTATATATCGATATACTGACTATATATTGAATTTATTCGACTATATATTGAAATTATAAGTTTGAACATTATTAGGGTTCTATTGTCAAAGACTATCATCACACTTCCATAATCACAGATTTCGCCAAGACTAAACTAGACAAATAATATTAAAGGCAAACAATATTAATCAATTCTCACCACAGACTGTAACAACAAACAAAAGAGTATAAATGCGTCTGTGTGTGTCAAATATATGGTAGTGTGTGTAATGTTTTTTTTAATTGATTTAGTGGCCCTTTTATTGTCAATTAAAAAAAATATTAACATTCTGCACTTCAGTATATTCTCTATAAGTGTAGGAAATTTCATTCTCCTCCGTCCGTGGAGTTTTCGTTAAAAGGGGTTGTAGATGTCTATGAACTCCAGTAATCACTTAACACCCAGGTGGGCTGTGAGCTCGTCCACCCATAAGCAATAAAAAAATTGTATGAATTACAACTACGTCTACTTTTAAATTCCGCTCCAATAGATAAGAACCAGTTGGTGAGCGACGCTGGAAAGCTGACGGTTCTGGACTCGCTTCTGAAGAGGCTGAAGGAGCGCGGCCATCGCGTTCTCATCTACAGTCAAATGACGAAGATGATTGATTTGTTAGAGGTAATAAGTTCTGTGTTAATAAACACTATTGGTCACCCGGTAGTCGAAATTCAACTATAATTAATTGAAGTTATAAATACACTTATGATTCTATTGTCAAAGTCTATTATACTTCTATAATCACAGATTTCGCCAAGACTACACTTTCATCATCATCATCATTCTTTCCTATTACCCTCTGCTGGGGTGTAGGGCTCTAATCAATTTTTTCCATTTACATCGGTCTTGGGCAGTCTGTTCTAGCTCCTCCCACGTCATGCCCAAGACCCCTAGCTCCTGCTCCACTTTAGATTTAGACACTTTAGAAAAATATTAATAAAGACAAACAATATTGAATTTATTCTCAATTTGACCACAGACATAAGCAATAAGAAATTTTTTACAATAAACAAATAGTATGTATGCGCGTGTGTGTGTGTCAAATACATGATGAAATACACAAAATGTACTTTTGTTGTGATAAGATTTAAAATGTCAAAAATATTGTTCGTGTACAGGAATACATGTGGCATCGTAAACACAAGTACATGCGGCTGGATGGCTCCAGCAAGATCTCCGCCAGACGGGACATGGTGGCTGATTTCCAGGTATGACTGTAATGAAACTAGGACGCGCCTGAATGAACCTTCATTATCTGTGACGTCATTTGTGGTCATAATGTACCATGCGTTAAATAAGTTATGCCATAATAGACTAAGCACCACAACTAGTCATATGTGACGTCATGGGTTGAGATTCTTTTATAATATTTATAAACAGTAAAATATATTAATTAAAGTGCCTAAAAACTTAATAATACTGTTTACTTGGATCAAAAAATACTAGTACAATTAATTGATTTAAAAACCAAATTATGATACCGATCTTTTGAAAGGAACAACCCAGTCGAAGAAGATCATAATATTAGTGATGCGTGTTGTATTCAAGTACTGACGTCACTATCATAACAAAGTATTTCCCTAACAGGCCCGGACGGATATATTCGTGTTCCTTCTGTCCACTCGCGCTGGAGGTTTGGGCATCAACTTGACGGCGGCCGATACGGTTATATTCTACGATTCGGACTGGAATCCGACAGTTGATCAGCAGGCCATGGACCGAGCTCATCGTTTGGGACAGACCAAACAGGTCACAGTCTACAGGCTGATTTGTAAAGGAACCATCGAGGAGAGAATAATGCAACGGGCCAGGGAGAAGAGTGAGGTAATTTGATGTTTAAACGCCGCGGTGAGGTGTGTACTAAACCAAAGTAGGTGCTAGTGCTGGAAAACCTTGATATAAGATACGAAACGTAGGCAAGTGCTAGTGATGGGAAATCTTGATACGCCTAGAAAGGAAACGTAGGTAGCTACTAGTGCTGGGAAATCTAGATACGAAACAATAGAAAAATGCAGGTACCATCTGTCTATTTCGGTCATGTTTGTAAAGTGCATGAGACGTAATACAATACAATAGATAATACATACAAATTGTAAGCATTTATTATATTGGGTACTATAGCTAACGAACTCATTGTCCGGCAGTTGTTAAGCGGCTACCGATGTTATTAGTGTACATGTAATAAGCGTTATAATTTTTTTTAGATCCAAAGAATGGTGATCAGCGGCGGCAATTTCAAACCGGACACCTTAAAACCCAAGGAAGTTGTATCGCTGCTGTTGGACGACGAGGAAATTGAACTCAAATGTGAGGATCGGTATATATATATAAACTCATTTTTTTAAATGATTTTATGACCCGGCAACGAGACCTTTAAGCCAAGTCTTATTTCTTATATTGTGTTATATGAAAAATGAAATGAAATGAGATGAAGTTGATTAATTAGAGACTTAATCGGATTCAATTCGGATGAAATTAAATGAAACGATATGAGATAAAGTCTCCGTAAACTTACTGAGGCTTATTCAGTTGACTTTTTAGAAGAACCCGAGAAGCTACGTCCAGCGATTTTGTTTCATTTTCCCACGCTCGTGTACTTTCACAGATGTTAAACTTATGTCCTTACGGATCCCTCCAATCCAATAACCTTTGCTCTCCTCCTCCTTCCTTCAGCTCCTTCAACTCCTTCAGCTCCTTCAACTCCTTCAGCCAACACTAGGAGCAGGCTTAGGGACCTAGACTAAACTAGACTAGACCTAGCAGGCTTAGGATATTAAAAATACCTAAAGTGTTTAGCGGAGTCCATAGATAGAACAACGTAATTACATTTTTTATTATACAATATTATATCGCATGTCGAGAAATAACAAAAGTAAAAATCCATGGAAAAACAGTTTATAGTATCTTCAACGTTAAATTAAATATTTTTCCGTTCAGATCGACAGAAGTCCGAAGAGAAGAAGATGTTTGAAGAGAGAGAACGCAAGAGAAAGCTCGGAATCCTGCCCAGTGCTATTGTAAGTACACGATAATGTCGCTCGTGACTCACTTTTTATCGGCTCATTTATCCACCTACCTAACGGAGTCGCACAACGAATATTTCGGCAACTTCAAGACCAGGTGATAATACAATAGTTTTATTACTGTAACCTAACATATGGACTAAGATTAAGGGAAGTAAAGAAAAATCCCTTATGACTCGGTGGTGCAATGGTTAGTCGCTCTAACTGTTGCGCCGAAGGTCGTGGGTTCGATTCTCACATCGGGCAAACATTCGTTCGATGAACAGGCTTGTTTGCTCTTTTTCTGAATGTTTATTATCTGTATTTTAAGTTTACGTAGCCCAAGGTACCTAGGTACTACCACCCCGCTTATTTCTCCCGTGAAGCAGTAATGTATTTCGGTTTGAAGGGTGGGGCAACCGTTCTACTGTTAAAACTGTGATTTAGAACTTATGTCTCGAGGTAGGTGGCGCCATTTACGTTGTAGATGTCTACGGGCTCCGGTAACCACTTAACACCAGGTGGGCCGTGAGCTCGTTTAGCCAACTAAGAAATACATTTTTTTTGCTTTTGTAGGCAGACGAGCACACGGCCCAATTGATGGTGAATGGTTACCGTCGCCCATGGACTTAAACAATGCCAGGGGCAGAACCAAGCCGCTGCCTACCGTTAACCAAGCCGCTGCCTACCGTTAACCAAGCCGCTGCCTACCGTTAACCAAGCCGCTGCCTACCGTTAACCAAGCCGCTGCTTACCGTTATTCTCCCAATGACCGCATAAATATTTATAATACCTTACTTGATGCCTACCGTAAATGTGTATATTTCAACATATATACGTACGTTTATCAGTCTGCGGTACCGATAACACAGAGAATCTTAAATTGGGGTTGGATAACCTTGCGTGTTCCTAATCTTTTTTTTATTTTTTATTTTCATGCTTCCTATTTTAAGTGTAAAATGAAATTTAATTTTTATTCAAATTGGTATTGAATACAGTTTGATTCGTGTTTGTGCAGTCGTCGCCGCCGGTGGATGTGAAACGGCCCAGGGATTCCGCTTCGGAGCCCGGCAGCCCCCTGCAAGTCGACGACGAGAGCGACGGTCTGGTTGTGGACGTGCCCTCGCAGCCCCCCACCCCCACCTGTGAGTTGCACCCCCCACGCATGACTATCTGACATGCCTTTCTAAGTACATATCGACGCTTGAAAGGTAAACGTGACTAAGCGACAACGCGTGAACTTTAAAGTAGACTAATTTAAAATTGAAATACCTGGAAAAAAAAATCTATTTTAACGAATCTAGCTGTGGGACTGAAATGATTTTAATAGACCCAGAATATATTTTTTTGCGCATCGAATATGTTTATTGCCTATCATTTATATATAAAGCAGTCATTGTTGCTAAGACACGTTTGACTTTCAAGCGTCGATATGTATAGCAAATATTAATTTTAAATACTCTAGTCCAGCGGCTTTCAACTTTTTTATTCAGCGACGCGATATACTTATATGATATTTTTTTATAGTCGAAGTTTTTTTATTTATTGCTCAGATGGGTGGACGAGCCCGGCCCGCCTGGTGTTGAGTGGTTACCAGATCCCATATACATTTACAACGTAAATGCCGCCACCCACCTTGAGATATTCGTTCTACGATCTCACTTGTAACAGTACAACGGCTGCCCCACTCTTCAAACCGAAAAGCATTACTACCTCATGGCAGCAATAGGAAGAGTGGTGGTACTTATTTGTGGGGGCTCACAAGGCCACCACCACCAGTAATAAAATTGTCAAATAACAATTATTTCGGATTTGATTTATATTAGATGTTTTATTCCTTAACCGTGGAAGTCATTCGTAGACTTTTTTTTCATTAGAAAAAATGGTAGCTTTCTGCTCGCATCGCTCTATACGAATGAGCCGGGCGTCTTATCCTTTAAGCCACAATGACTGCATTGTAATGTCGTTTGAAAGAAAACTTACGAACTTATTTGGTACTGAATCTGTGACGTCATTTGTCAGCATACTCGCCGTCGTTCCGTCCGTCGTGGTCGGGCAGCCGCGGGAGTCGCGGGTCGCGGCGCGGCCGCCCGCGCGGCTCCCGACACTGCGCGTCGCGCCGCCCGCGGCCCGCGCCCGACAACAACGCGCTCGCCGCAGGTACGAACATTATACAAGATGCTGTAACAATAAATAAAAAAAATATCGAATAGGTCTTCACGGCTTCACCACCGATAAGACCCGATGAGAAATTCAAGGAATGGTTCAATCGTCTTCGCAAAAAAAACGGTACGCTTGAATGAAGTGAAACTTCTTTTTCGATGTGTAGTATTGTGGTTTTCATTTTTCATCCTTAAATCAGACGGCTCTTGTAATAGGGAATGCTGTCTATAAGAGATGCGACATCTTCAACATTAAAATTATATTTATTTTAAATTATAGATAGAATTTTTTTTTTAAGTACTTCATTAAAATATTGGACGCTACTCGTTGCTAACGCTCGCGCTGGCCTATAATAGGTATACTATGCGCATGCGTTCGAGTGCCACGGATCTTTCTAGTATGGTAGCGTTAAACGTTTAACGCAACCTTGTTCCAGTCTGATTAACGTTCTTGTCGAATCCGTCGTTTGCGACGAAGGGCTGGGCGAGTAAATTAGATCCATAGACCAAGCCCACTGAGTTTCTCGCCGGATCTTCTCAGCGAGTCGCGTTTCCGATCCGGTGGTAGATTCTGCGAAGCACTGCATTTATTATTGCTAGTGTTAGCAGCACTCCCGGTTTTGAGCGCTGTGAGCTCACCTAATATTTCGGTGAATTTAGAATAACCCCTCGAAATTACTAGAATAGGTACGAAAAAAAAGCTATCTTGTTGGAAGTCGCATTAGAAGTTTCACTTTGAAAAATGTATTTAATAGGAAATCGATAAAGGAATCATTATTTCGTACAGGAGCAGCGTTGTTGGAGTCCGATGCGCCCCTCGAGCCCGAGGTACCGACGCCGGTCGAACCAAGTCGCGGTCGTCGCGGACCTGGTAATATCATCACATGTGTTGTAAACAATAATAAAAATTTTGCTTGTCTCGTACACGATGAACTGTGTGAGAAGATCTTAATAATTATCGTTTATTTACACAGTAATCGTGAAATTGATTCATTTTTACATTTCGTTTATCGAAAAGCTAGTGTTCCTAATTAAAATTACTTTAATTGTACAATCACGCATTTTTTTACTTATTATTCATCTATATTTGAGTAATGTGCTAACTAATAATATAATGACAATAAATAACGCGAGATTGTATCGTAAAAGCCAATACTAATGTTAATGTTATTGTTAGCTATCGAATAATATTTGAAAATATGTATATTGAGGCTTGTGACGTCATCATGAAAGAGAGAGAGAGAGAAAAAGAGAGAGATCGATATATTCTCATTGCACGTGATGTGGGCGTGTTGCAGGTCGACCCCGGCTGCGCAGTGCGGCGCCGCGTGGCCCCTCCCGCCGCCCGCGCCGCCCCCGCGAGCCCCTGCTGGTGCCGCTCGCGCCGCCACCCTGACCGGTACGGACCACAACCGCCTCCCCCACTAACGCTAACTAACCAATAGCATCTAGTCGTGTCTGGAGACTTTTTGGCGGGAACGCGAACACTGAAGTTGTGTGATTTGTTTTATTTTATCTATTTGGTGTTTCTTCAGGTTTAAATGTGTAGTAATAACGGTGGTTTATTAACTGTTTAGTATCTGTGAAAGAGCACGAATGTGGGAAAATGAAACAAAAGCCGCTGGACGTATCTTCTCGGGATCCTCTAAAAAGTCCACTGAAAGTCTCAGTAAATGACCACCATTTTACTAAACATTCACTAAACATTTGTTTTTCAGGAGCGTCCGGTGTCGGATGAGGGTTCGCTCACTTCCGGCTCCTGTCCAAACGCGGCCGCCCTCCCCGGCGACAGCTTAATGAAATGATGTGCTCATAAATTATAACTTAACATATCCTGACTTGTTGTATTATTGGTATTGTGATCAGAACGGTAGCTTAGTAATGATGCGAGAGATTTGCAACATGCGTAATGAACTTGATACCAAAACTTCGCTATGAACTTTGTTTTTGAGTTGAATATTTTATTGAATAATACGTGAAGCAAAGACTTTGTATCCCTTTTTATGAAAATTGCGCGGACGGAGCAGTATGAAATTTTCCACACTTATAAAGAATATAGAGAAGAAGTGCACAATGCTAATATTTTTTTAAAATAATGCATAAAAGATACATTAAATTAATAAAGAAAACATTACACACACTACATACCATGTGTTTGACGCACACACGCATGCATACTATTTATTGTCAAACTTTTGTTCTTGACGTCTGTTGTCAGATTGAGATTAAATATTGTTTGCCTTTGTTAATATTTTTTATAGTGTAGTCTTGGCGAAATTTGTGATTATAGAAGTATAAAATACAATCATAATAGTGTACAAACCTACAATTCCAATCAATTATAGTCGAATTTCGACTACTGCGGGACCTCTAGTTTTATTAAATTTATGTTATGTAGTTAGAGGTCATAGATGTCACAATGCAGCCACTTGATCTGAGAGATGTGAACTCGAATTTTCACTTACTCGAGTAAAATTGCTTGATTGAAAATCAATATATTAAGTAAATTGTGTTATTAAAAAAATTCTAGTTAATATAGACTAATTTAAAAAGGTAATTTCAATTTTTTTTTTAAAGCTCACCTTGGTTATTTTTTAATAATTAATTGAAAGCGTCATTGCTTTTAAACGTAGTGACGTCATCAATGGCATAAAAAAAGTGGTAGGCATTGCCTATATCACCCGTTCAATCTCTGTAAAAATATCTCTGAATACATGTTTGGATTGTTATAGACCGCATAATATTATTATAGTCTTAAAAATATTCAAGTCATGACTGCCTTCACGTTTCGAGTCGAAATGAGAAAATTGTTTTGATGTTATTATTGGGAGTAAAACAAAAAATCATTTTTTTTAAGAGATTTTATGACCTGGTAACTGAGATCTTTAAGTCATGTCTTATTTTAATTTATATTATTCATATTTTTATGAAAAATTATATTATGGAGTGAAATGAAATGAAGATGATTAATTTGAGACACTAATCAACTGGGATGAAATTAAATGAAATGAATTGAGATGATATGGGATGAAATATAATCTCAGTAAAATGGTGGTCATTTACTAAGATTTTTTCAGTGGACTTTTTGGAGGATCCGGAGCGTCCAGCGGCTTTGTTTCGTTTTCCCGCATTAAAATTTGTGCACTTTCACAGATATTAAACAGTTAATAAACCACCATTATTACACATTTAAACCCGAAGAAACACTAAATAAACAAAATAAAACAAATCACACAACTTCACTCCTCGCGTTCCCGCCAAAAAGTTATCAAACAAAAACTCACATATGCGTCGTACACAGATTATACAAAAATATAGGTTAATAAAGTATCTGTTTGAATAAAGTATAATAAAGTCGATGATGACGTCATTTGAGAAAAAGTCAAACATATTTGTTTAAGAATATTGGTAATTAGCCTTCTGACAAGGTAGACCGACGGCCTATTGAGGTTTGAGAGAATCCGCTCAATCCAAGCAGCGCAGGACGGGTCCTTGTGGCAAGGTTTGGAAGACCCCTATGTCCTTATGCCTTAGATTTAATATCGGGGTCAGAATAAGTTTAAAATTACATAACATTACGTGGGCATGCATGTGTTAAAGAAATTCATGTCTATGATTTGCGATAGCCGAAGAAAAAGAAACCACAATAACTTTAGAATATATATTTTTTTGTATTCGTAAGTATAACAAAACGAATCAACGAAGATTGAAGTTTTACGTGTAAAAAAAAATTTATGTAAATAATGTAGTAATTAGATTACTTACGGCAAATATGTGTAATATGTATTAATAAAATGGCCGTGTTGAAATTGTGGATGACTTTTATTTTCTTAATTAGTTCGGGTACTGAAAAACGGTTTTATTAAAACCTAATAAAAGAATTGAAATAACAAAAAAGATCTAAGATATTTAGTGTTGTTCATATTATATCAAGAGCTTATCTACGAAATTGCTGTTTAGTATAAACAAAGATTATAAATATTTTTAATATTTTCTATTTCTATTAATCAAAATATGCACCCATGGTAACGATGCATTACTGCCAGCGCAGTGATAATTTTTCAATGTCCTTCTTGAAGAAGCTACATATATTTTTATAGTGTTAGTGTTTATGAAATAGACACAAATGTATCGAAAAAACAAAAACGAATCAATAAACAAATTACTGAATTTAAAAATGGAATTCTATAAATTTTTTTCTTTGAATATAAATTTAATTACCAGCCATACATAAATCAGCTTTGAAATGGCCAGTATCGTAAAAGGGCAACTTCATAGGTATATATACTTATTGTAAGTACCACTGTTCGTTCCTATATATGACGCGAAGCCGCGATGCGTTCCGATTTGTAGGGTGCGAGAGTCGTTATACTATACAATGAGACTTGGACCTTAGATTTCAAGGTGGGGACGGTATTCATCTTGTGACGTTTACGAGTTTCGATAACTTTAATACCAGATTGACGTGAGGTCGTACGTTCCGCAACAAAAAAAAATGAAGAGCAGTCCCATAGATTTTATTTATTTATTTATTGCTTAGATGGGTGGACGAGCTCACAGCCCACCTGGTGGTTAAGTGGTTACTGGAGCCCATAGACATATACAACGTAAATGCGCCACCCACCTTGAAATAAGTTCTAAGGTCTCAGTATAGTTACAACGGCTGCCCCACCTTTCAAACCGAAACGCATTACTGCTTCACGGCTGAAATAGGCAGGGCGGTGGTACCTACCCGCGCGGACTCACAAGATGTCCTACCACCAGTACATCATCCTGTTAATACTTCTGAAATGCAGTTTCACCGCGGTGGTAACGTCATGATGCTTTAAAAACGCCTGGGGATTAAGTAATTGAAAAAAAAAATTAATGTAATAGATTCTTCGAACTTGTATCTCGAGTTGGACAGCGCCATTCTCGTCTATGTGTCCCGGTAACCACTTAGGCCGGCAAAATTGACTGATCTGATATTAATTAACATGGTATTTTACGAAATAAATAAAAATTTGGACAGTTCGCACGCGGTAGCAGTGAAGCCTTCAAAAGTATTTCTGTCTCATTCTCCCAGGCTAAGTCCCGAGCGCCTGTAAAAAAACCCTATTAGAATAAATAAAAAAATGTTTTTATGCCCTTTGCAGAATGAGTATAACATTTAAGACAGTGAGTCATTTAAAGCAGGCACGGTAGGCAACGATTTGGCTATACCTCTGACATTACAGACTTCCATTAGCGACGGACACCACTCACAATTAGATGAGCAGCATGCTCGTCTGCCTACAAATAGGACCTCTTGTGAGTCCGCGCGGGTAGGTACCAACGCCCTGCTTATTTCTGTTGTGAAGCAGTAATGCGTTTCGGTTTGAAGGGTGGGGCAGCCGTCGTAACTATATTTGAGACCTTAGAACTTGTATCTCAATGTGGGTGGCGGATTTACGTTGTAGATGTCTATGGGCTCCAGTAACCACTTAACACCAGGTGGGCTGTGAGCTCGTCCACCCATCTAAGCAATAAAAAAAAAGATAAAGACATACACATACATAAAACTAACTAAACAACCAAATTAAACCTGCGTCATAATACGCACAGAGATATTCTTACGTGATACAAAAAGCAACAAGTGAGTCGTCTCTGGGTCAAGGCTGAGTTCATGTAACAATAGCTGTGATTACCTGTCTACAGACTACATATGTATCTAACCATTGTTTCCTAATTGCACGTTGCGATTAATACGTCAATCTTCCATGTTTATTGCACAACGTAGATTTATTACAAGAGGTCTTGAGAGAAGCTATTCTGTAAATATCTTGGAATGAACATAAAAGTAAATTACGGGACTTCTAAGAAAAATTAAATCTCAATTTATAAGAATACTAGCCGTACTCGCCCGCTTCGCTGGGCATTTAAAATTAACATTATTATTTATTGTCATTATTATTAGGGAGTCCAACAGCCTATCCATTAAGTACATGAATTTTCTACATGGATACCAATTTCAAGTCAATCGGATGCATGGTTCAGTAGTTATAACGGAACATCCGTTAAAACCACTGTAAATTTATATATTAGTATAGATTAATCATTATTTCTTAAGATTAGAATTTAAAATTCCTTTCCTCTTTTACAAAAATGAATTAAGCGATTAAATCTTGCAAAAAAGTCATAACTTTTTAAACACGTTTAAGTAACTTTTTGCTGTAACTCGAATATCTCGTCACATACGACATCTCCACAGAGCGTGTAACGTCGAGGGAGGTCTCTAGTTGCCGCTAAACATAATTACCATATCCTCGCGACAACACGCTGCGTTATGACACCGATATTTTTTTTCAATGCGGGTACATTTTATAAAAAGTGCTTTATTCATCCGCCGCTGACGTCTTTTGTTTTTATTTGACGTTTATTAGAAGCATGTACCTACCTTTCATCCATAGCTAGTGCTTAAATTTGATTCAATTTTCTGTAGCTTGCTGGGTACGGATGTTGGTTGCGTTATTAATGTAATAACGAAAATACTTATTAACTAATAAAATGTAAACATTATTAACTCATCACCATAGTATGGACATAAACAAAAAATCTTTCTATAGCTTTGATGCAACGAGGATATGAGCCCTTATTTTTAAAGATAGCTTTTAATTCTTGTATCCCATCGTAAAATGTGGAAAAGTATGAAGGTAAAAATATATAAATTGTCTATATTAACTACTTACATACGGACTAATTTTGTAGTTCAAATTTCTAGTTATTTTTTATTTCACAATTTTGAAATTGTTATTTAATATGGATGAATTAATCCAATACCTTTAGGTCTCCATTTCAACATTATAGTTCTAATTTCGCGTACGGGCTGTTAATAAAATTAAAATTTGATTCACATTCGCGATGATTACTCAAAGGCGTGTGAATCATCGTGTGAACCACATTTTCCTCAAACACGGACGGACGTGGAGAAATTCGCTAGCTTTCGTGTATGGTACAAGAATATAAC